ATATAAATGTAAATAAATGTACTTGCGTCTCGTCTCTCAGAGTCTCCTCCCTTCCGCCGGTCTGTGTTCTCGCCCATCTTCCTGTGGAGTCTGGTGACGATGGGGATGTCCCAGTTGAGGATCATCTTCTTCATGGGAGCGATGAACAAGATGCTGGAGTTCATGGTCACCCACGGTGAAGAGTCTTGTGAGTTTCGAACCCCCAAGCACTTTCCCAGCCATTTTATTGTTATCAAGAACTAAAAAAAACATTTACTGACAGAGTGGTGTTTATTTTGACATTTCAGCATCTGACAAGCTCGCGAAAGAAGAGGAAGGTTAGTAATGGAATGCTACCGCTTTAATTTGTATAATTTCTCCGGCATATCCTTCTATTTTCTTTATTCTTATTTGCTTGAATGTCTTGTTCTTCAGTGAGTTTCTACTCGTCCATCTTCGGCACACTGCAGCTGCTGTGCCTGCTCACATGTCCTCTGATTGGATACATCATGGACTGGAGGATGAAGGATTGCACCGATGAGAAGACTGTCCCCCCAGGCACAGAGCAGAGGTGCATGTTTGAGATAAAATAAAACTAATAATTACCAACAGAAAACACAAAGGTGACTAACAATTGAGAATGCCCTTTTCAAAAGAGAAATACATTGACATCTTTGGGAGTCAACCTCCTATTCTTTAGTTTGTATTCTCAACGATATATATTGGATGGTGTCTTCGAGAATAACAATAATGTTAAAACCCCTCTCTGTCTGTTCCCCATCAGGCAGACTAGTTTACCCACGAGAGACCGTAAGATCCAGAAAGTGACCAACGCCATGAGGGCTTTCATTTTAACCAACCTGCTGCTGCTCGCCTTCGGAATCTGCTGCCTCATCGACAACATGCCTCTACAGGTAGCACACACACCTCAAAACACATCATGGATGGCTTACTGGGCACTAACCTATGGGCCCATAGTGTCAGACATAAGAAATGTTACTTTTAGAGGCATATAAAAACTACAGTGGTATAATATAACTACAGAGACACAAAACTACACCATAAAGTCACAAATGAACCAAAAAGTGAGCCACCAAACGTCTACCAAGACACACATTACTGTCCATGTAGAGAACACTATTATAAAGACACAGGATTATCTCTAAAACTAAAAAACCACTACAAAGTCTGTGTCTGCAGTCCAGTGCCATAATCACACATTATGGTAGACAGAGTAAACAAGTAAAGATAAACAGTCCCCGTTGATTGTGTGGCTTCTCTTCTCCTTCTCTACCTCAGATCCTGACCTTCATCCTCCACACGATGGTCCGAGGCTTCATCCACTCCTGCTGCGGAGGACTTTATGCTGCTGTGTGAGTGCAGCACTGCTAATTCATCAAGCTACTACATCTAACTCCCTGTTAAACACATTCACAGCCAAAAAGAAGTTGAAAAGCAAACCTTAGGGGGTGATGTTTCACAAAGTGCACGCCAAACGAAATAGTTCTAAGTGGCTTACAATTTAAGATATTTCTATTAAATGATATTTGAGCCACATGTCTTGACAAAGGGGAAGCTGCATTATATGTGTCAAACATTCAAAGCACTGAAACATATTATTTTGACAACAATTAGGAAAGTAAGGCATTAAAAAGGTAAACTTCTTTAATGGAGTGTCTTTGTTACTTAACCTTTTCTTTTGTAAATTGGGGCTCATTTAATTAGGTGCTTCAAACTCTTGGTAACCACGTGATTCTCTCCCACAGATACCCGTCCAACCACTTCGGCACGCTGACAGGCCTCCAATCCATGATCAGCGCTTTGTTCGCTCTCCTGCAGCAGCCGCTCTTTATCGCCATGGTCGGACCACTGAAAGGAGACCCCTACTGGGTGAGGACATTCACTCTTCTCTAACTCCACACACTTGCAGCAAGCGAGTTACAAAATAAATGAACTTTGTGACTGAAACTGTAACTTTCTTCCATCAGATAAACCTGGGCCTGATCCTCTTCTCCTTGGCTGGCTTCCTGTTACCGGGCTATCTGTACTACCACCGCAGACAGCTGATCAGGGAAAAAGAGGCCAACGACAAGAAGGCGGCCGGACAGGAGATGCAGGCGCTCAACGAGAATGAGACCAACGGATACAAACCTCACACTAACGGGCTCCATGCTGCAGAGGCTTAGAGCGGCCACACAGTGCACAGAGGGCCTTGTAGGTGCCTTCAGAATGAGCACCAGTAATCTACGCATCCATATACACTCACTGGCCACTTTATTTGGTACACCTGCTCATTAACGCAAATATCTAATCAGCCAATTAAACGGCAGCAACTCAATGCTTTTAGGCATGTATACATGACATGGTCAAGATGACCTGGTAAAGTTCAAACAGAGCATCAGTATTGGGAGGAAAGGTGATTTAAGTGACTTTGATTGTGGCATGGTTGTTGGTGCTAGACAGGGTGGTCTTGGAGTAATTTCAGAAACTGCTGATCTACTGGGATTTTCACGCACAACCATCTCTAGGGTTAACAGAGAATGCTCAGAAAAAGAGAAAAGAACAGTGGCGGCAGTTCTCGAAGGATGCCAGAGGTCAGAGGAGAATGGCCAGACTGGTTAAAAATGATAGAATTGAGCAACGTTTAAACGCCACAGCCTACCTGAGTATTGTTTCTGACCATGTCCATCCCTTTATGACCACAGTGTGCCAGTCTTCTAGTGGCTATTTCTAGCAGGATAACGCGCCATGTCACAAAGATCAAATCATCTCCAACTGGTTTCTTGAACACGACAATGAGTTCACTTTACTCAAATGACCTCCACAGTCACCAGATCTTAATCCTGTAGAGCACCTTTGTGGTGGAACGAGAGATTCACATCATGGATGTGCAGCCGACCGATCTGTTGCAACTGCGTGATGCTATCATGTCAATCTGGACCAACATCTCTGAGGAACGTTTCCAGCACCTTGTTGAGTCTATTCCACAAAGAATGTATGCAGTTCTGAAGGCAAAAGGGGGTCCAACCAGGAACTAGCAATGTGTACCTAAATAGTGGCCGGTGAGTGTATATTTCGTTGTTCCAGTTGTGTTTTGGTCACTGCTGGTGTACATTTAGCTCACTACAAACCAAACCACAGAGAAAATAGGATTCCTCATGTTTCATTATGTCTTTCAGTTCCTTGTGATTTCGGTAGATGTGTCATCATCATTTATTTATTTATTTTGGAAATAAGTGTCGAATAGCCAAATTACTGTGATTTTAAGCCATAGATTTCAATATCTACCACACACAAAGAAACGTGCACACACCCTTTGACAGACTGTGTGTTAGGTTGCGGATATCATGGTACTTGAAATTCTATTATATAGTTTTAGAAATCGCCTGATAATCATTACAATCCTCGCTAAAACCAAAGAACAGCTTGAAAATACTTGGAAAGTTGCACTTTTTACTTCAGTATTGTTTCAAAAGTGTGCTTAATGAAGCAAACTTTTTGTGTATTGTGCTGTTTGTACTGTACACCCTCCGGTTAAAGAAAACTATACTTATATATGTGTAAAACAGATCATATACATATCAAAGACAATATAAAGCGTTTGAAGATAGAAATACCAGACTTCTGTACATGTAAAGAAGCATTTGAAGTAATTTCAGAGCACAAGTTATTCACACACACACACACACACACACACACACACACACACACACACACACACACACACACACACACACACATACACACACGTAAACGCACAGATAGGCTGGTATAGAGACACCATATCTACCTCCTCTGTTTCATTTTTTTTGTACTGTCTCTCTGCAACCGACCCCCTCATCCGTTCATCAATGTTTTGTTCTCATTAGGAACTATTAATCACATTATTGTTAAATACCTGAAATGAAAAATGAACTAAGTACAGCATTTCTTATTGTGCATTCATCACAGAGGTATTGCTTAGTCAGCCCTTGCATTTCTGGATTTTTATATTTAAATGTTTTTTTATATAAAGGAAAAGTTTGTTTTATGGAACATTAACAAGGAATAATATGACTGACTTAAAATTCTGGCACAGTGTTAATGTTTTTGATCACTTCGTACTGCTTTATGCACAGAAATGAACTAGTGTGTGTATAAAATATGTATTTAAGTGTATTTTTTTACTCTAGCTGCATTAGCTTTAAAAGGGAAGCGTTTGTTTCATCAACAGTTATTTTTGTAGTGTGCTTATCATAAATGAAGCTTAGATGATTGATTGTGTATTCTGTGTTCGCCTTTTTTTGTAAACAAACCTCCATCAAATAGTTTTTTGTAAATATAACTGAGGTGCCCCTTGTATTTTATCACATATTCTGCTTGCTTTACTATATATGGGTGTGTACAGTATATCAACCGATGGCTTTGGTTTAACATGCTTTTTAAATTTGATTGTTCTGCTTGGATTCCCAAAGTCACATGAAAAGGACACTGTTTCAGCCAGCAGTAGATCAAAACAGAACATATATATTATCCCAAAGTGACAACAAATGGGTGTATACATGTTTGATCTCAACACAGCAACAGTAAAGTGTAGAGTTATTGAATCAATTGTACAATTTTAAATGTTTTGACTATTATTTTCAGTGTGAAGTGTGCTTTGGATGTTTTTCGTCCTGGTCTGATGCATTTCTTTCCTGATTTTTTTGTCGTACATAAAACGTTTTAGCTTTTTGAATTCTTGCTCACTTGCCATGAAGGAGATTGTGTTTTGTTTTAACCCTGTGCCTTTGCTCCTATCTTACCTTTATTTCAACAGATTTGAATGTAAGATGAATGCCAAACATCTTTCTAGGTGAACCAAAGCCAATGAGTAGCTTGATATGTTGAGTGCATTACAATAAGAGTTGGTGAGGTTCTCCAGTTTGGCTTATGTCATTACTTTCCTCTTGTACAGTATTTTGTAATGTTTGAAACATGTGAACCAGCAATTCCAGCAACTACTGACTTGTCTGTACCTCTGCAAGTTTCCATAAAGGTCAATAAATAATTTGTCAGACAACAGTAATTTGCTGTCTGAATCCTTGGGTTGAAGTTTAGTCAACATCTCTGATATCCTCTACTACAACAACAAAACATCCTTTGCCTTGTCTGTATTAAGACCAACACATAAAGTGGCGTATCTTATTTCCTTACCCTTGGGGGTTGAAGTGTAAAAGTGTGTCTTCTTTCCTTCCATAACTATATCCAGCTTCTGCATTTGTTAAACAAATAAAATAATAATTGTAAACATATCGTTTTGCTTTCCATTGAATGACTGTTGTTGCTGTTGCAGAGTAAACCATGTATCTATGAACCTGATCACATTATCTAAATGCCCACAAGATGCCCTACAAGGAAGCACAAGCAAAGATAATAACCAAAGTTTATTGGATTTTGGCATTATGGTCAAAAGATATCGCAACAAAATCAAAGAGGGACATTCATACAGTGCCAGCTCGCTCAGTCATCCATAACATCAGCATCTTTCTGCGTTTGACACTGTTCTGTAACGTTGCCTTTCATCATCACACAAAACCACTGCTCCTTTCATTCACCCAAACATCATTGCATCCCCTCTCTCATTAAACATACTCCCAATAATACAATTATCTGAAAAACACACACACGCATCCTCTTACAAAATGCACAGTCACACACACACACACACACACACTCGTGCACACAGTGGGCTCCGGTCTATCTGAGGCTGTTGCTGTTGGGTTGTGATCCAGCGAGGCCGGGGTGGTCGGGACTGTGGCGGTTCTGGTGGGAGACAGAGAGCAGCAACACACTGTTTACATGCTTATTTAAACAAGACTGAGCCAAGCACACAGCTGTTGTGTTCACTGTCTCTGGGTGATGTGGGAATTGACATTAGAGCAGGATCTAGTTTACAGTTTAATACCATATTCAGGAGAACAAATTAGCTTTAGATTAGAGATGAGTTAAACTGACCAACTATCCATACATATTGCTTTAATAATACGTTTTGGGCAATAATTAGATCACATGTCACTTGTTAGATGCTTTTATCCAAATATTCATCTTGTGGTGAAAATCTGACATTGTGACAATTTAATATATTAGGGGGATGTGAACTGTCGTTCCCCAGCAACTACTATGCACCTGGGCGTTAAAAAAAAACCTCAAATGCAAATGTTTCGATCACAAAGTCAATAATATGATGTTAGATATCCGATTAAGGCTTTGGATGTGTTGGAAACTGTTTGTGAACAGGTAAGGCATACCTCTATAAAGCCATATTCAGTAAGATGCTGTTGTCGGCCAGCAACATTTTGTTTTAGCTCTTTTACCATCCTGAAACCTGAAAATACCTAAAAATGTATTTGCTGAAAAACTTGGTATTTGATATACGTTTTTAAATTAAGTTTAATTATGGGTTTGGTTTGTTTAGGGTCAGCGCACTATGTCTCTGTCCATAAACATAAAGACCCACAACAAAACCTATGGGTCAACTTTATAGTTACTGGGTGCTTGATATATTTTTCTTACCTTCTTCTTTTTCTTGTCTTTCTTCTTTTTCTTGCGGTCCGGATCGTCGTCCCTCTTCTTCTTCTTCTTCTTGGGATCGGTGTCTGATGGAGTTTCTGCGAAGGCAAGAAAGAAGCAGCTTAGTCGACTGAAAAACATTCCTTTGCCTTGGTGTAAAAATGTATAATTGATGTTATACCTTGTGGTAATGGGTCCTGTTGTCGATGGTGTTTGTGCTTGTGTTTGCTCTTCTTCTTTGGAGGCTGTATGTGCATCAATCTGTACTGTTCTGGTAGCTGGGGAAAAGAAACACGAAAACATGGATGCATATAAGAATGATCTGAACACTATAATTAAGAGATTAAAGAAACCTGTAGGCCAGGGTTTGCAAATTAAATAGACTTTGCCATAATGTTGTTAATATATGCAGTAAGTACCGGTCCTGTGTGTAGTCTGAAGCCTGTAAGCAGGGCGCCTGTCAGCGGGCTGAAGGAGTTCCCACACACTGGAGGCTTATCAATCAGAGAGCGCAACGAGCTGCCCTCCTGAGCGCCCGGACAGTCGATCATACCTGCAGAGCAGAAGAGAAAAAGGACAGGTTGGAGTATAAATGATTTCCAGATTTCTTTTTCAACATGGCAAAGACAAGATGTGCAATTAATAAAAATGAATAATATAACAAAAACATCAAATACAACTAAACATCACTAGCAAAAGTCCAATAAATGGACAGTATTACAGATATGTAATTAATGTGTGTTGAATGACATGCGTAGATTGTATAGGAATACTGATTATTATAATCGGTGGCTTTGAGCGACATGAAAGCTGATATAATTTTCTCTACACCTGTTTATGTGGCGAGTTTATAGATCAGAACAATGATGGATCCTAAATTATTATACAATATCTACTTATGGAACATCATTTACTTTAAAGTTTGGGCAGCATTTATCATCAACCCTTGACAGTCAGACCATAACCCACCTGGTAACTCTGGCAGGAAGTTGCTGAGCTTCTCCTTCACTTTCTTTCCACAGAATTTGTTGTATGCGTGCTCTAGGTTGTAGTGTGTGATGAGGTTGGTGTTGCCCGTTAACTCGTTTCCCACTAAACACACAGATTGATATCACGGTCATTTAAGCAAAAACAACAAATCATGTAATATGTAATTCATTTTCTTCGTAATAAGTATCAGCAAAAAATATTGCTAGGTCTATCCACTAAATACATTTACTCAAGTAATGACTTTTGAGAGCTTGGTACTCTGCTTGAGTTTTTATTTCTACCCAATAAAAATTCAGAGGCAATAATTATGTTAAATATTAAATCAAACTTTAGTTTTACCTAAAAGTCAGTAAGTCATTCAAACTAGATGCACCTTTGTAATCTTTGATAAAACTTTAATGCATCAATAATTATAATCAAAACATATGATATATGATTCTGAAATGGGCCAATCTGCATATTGAGTACTTTTACTTTTGGTACTTTAAGAATATTCTGATGACAATACTTTTGTACCTTTACTTGAGTAATATTTTTGATTGCAGGACACACTGGCACTTCTACCTTTACTTTTACTCAAGCACAAGATATTTGTACTTTTATAACCTCGGCTAGCCACATATATAATTACTTATATTACGTTAAACACAGATGCAAAGTAATGCGTAGAAATCTCAAGTGGATGTTTTAGTGTAACATAAGACATAAAATAAGAATACCTATTAAAACAGTTAGGCTAATACCTGTTCTGTTAAAGAGCTAACTCACTATTTTAGGTTTCACTCTTGTTGGCTAACATTAGCTAGCATTGTTTACTCACTGCTTGGCAACCTTTGGTGACAGCTAAACTATGTGTTCTAATAAACAGACAAACATAATACAAAGTATAAAACAGATATAACTGTATGCCAGTACCAGGAAGCTCCCGCAGTAAGTAGAAAGGTTCATTCATGGCTCCGGGCTTCCGCAGAGCAGGCCCTTCATCCCCGAGCTGCGGTGGCATCTGCCCCGTCATGGAGGCTTGGTTTTGCGGCAGAGGCGGCGGAGGTTTCCCCGGTCCGAAACCCAGAGACGAAGAGCCGGGCGGTCCCTGGGCTTCATTTTGCCCGAACAGAGTTGAAAACATTTCCGTCATATCTATACCACGTTTCTACAAGCAAGTGGTCTGTTGTTTGCTGAGATGTTCACGACAAATCCATCTGTGGTTCAACCAGAGAACTACTCGACTCTTCACTTCTTTGTGGCATTATTTTTCATGGCCCGAGTACCGTAATACCAGTCGACAACACGCACGTTACCATAATGATTGTTGTACGGTGGCCCTCATGGAAATAATCAATGAGCTCACCAAATGGTTTTAGTTTTGACGATATTAAGTTTATTTTCAGAAAACAGTAATAAACAATATATATGTAGTATGTACAGCTAATTTAAAGAATATACATTCAGGTCAATGAATTAGATGATCACACATCGAAGACATCAGCAGGGCCAAGAGAAGATGTCAACCTTTCAAACTCTGTGACCGTCGCCTAAAAGGAAGAGAGAAAAGAAGACTTAAAGCAAACTTCCATTTTATAATCCTACATTTTTCATAGTGCACATTTCGTCTGTGAGCAGTTGCAACCTCATTTTAAAACACATCAGTCCTATTTACAAAACATTTATGCGTCTTGATAAATACTTTCCAATTATGCAGCTTTTATATAATTGATGATACTCATGTTGAAAATATATAGTTTAATCTATAAAAATGTACATATTTTATTTAAATATACATTTTAGAGTAAGTAATTTAGCATTTCCTACTCATGCATCCTCCTTTTGAGTGTAAAAACAAACATCTTGATTATGTTTTTTCCTGAGTATTATCCTGTACAGCTATATTGTCTTTCTCTCTCACCTTCCACTCATCCAAAGCGGTAGAAACAAGTTGTCCAGTCTGAGAAATGCTCTCTCTGCCAGCCAGAACCTTCTGTGCCAGGGCAGCATTCTCTGCTTGAATCTTTTTCAGCTCCAGTCGCATGTAGGCCTCCTGCTTTTTATAGTATGGCATCAAAAAGCTGCAAAAGTCCTTCTCAGGAACCCCGCTCGGCCGCCTGAATGAACAAGGGACAGGGTTAAAAATTAACATTTGCATTTGAATCACATTGCAAAATGGAAATATTACAGAGGTGATGCACAATGCATAGAATCAATGTACCTTAATTACAGGTCCTTTTGGTGAGGACAAAAAGCCTCAAATACAGTGTATACAAGTGCCTAGACAATAACCTAATCCATACTGGTTAACACAACAATGCTGGGGCAAATACTTTGTACTGTTACCCTTTGTATCCACCTTTATGTATCTACTTTTAGGAATTCTTAACATTTCAATCATGACTATATTTCCAATCTTACAACAATCATCAGTTAGATATTTTATTTAACTACAGTTTACATATACATGTTTTATAAGCTGTTGCATTCAGAAACACATCAGATCAAAATGCAGCTCAGAAGGTCTGGATTACCCACTGACTCACTACTTGCTTGTTGTCTGCAGAAGGTGCTGGAAGGTGAAGATTAATGCTTTTTACTCACCATGCAGGAGCTGTATTGTTCTGGGCGGCGCTCTCCAGTTCGTCTAGCTCATTCATTTTGAACTCTAAGCGGCCTTCTTCAATCAATCTGCTGATGTCCTCCTACACATGATACACAGGCAGGTAAGCAAGTGCATACACATGTTTAATACAAACAACAAGACAGTACATCTTACATTTGTTATTATTATTTTCATAAATGTGATGTGCTACATACCTGTATATTTTTCCTCAACTCCTCAATGAACTGCTTGTGAATGTGTTCCATCTTCTGCGGGTTCTTCTTGTACAACGGGCGAAACGTGCTGGCGAATCTGTTGAAACTGTGAGTGGAAGCAGTGTCAGCGAACAGTGGCTTTTCCAAAACAACAAACATTTTCTCACCTAACTAATCAAGTACTGAAAGGATATATTAATCTATTATTGATAGACAGAACATTATTCATGACAGCAGTTCCATTTACCGAGTACTTTTCAATTATTTTATCAAGGGAAAGTTACAACTTTTTACATGGCCTCGGATGTGAGGATTTTTTGCTTTTCTTTATTATATAATTCAAGGCATATATCTGGGTGTTGGATTGTACATTTGACATATCAACTTAATAAAAGTACCCTTGGACTTAAGGAACCTTTCTGGGCATATTTCACTATTTTCGGATATTTCTTTAAATGAAATAAAAACAAAAAGACAAAATATCTATTGATGGATTAACTAAAATAACGCTGACATAATGAAAATATACTGAATTTTTGATGCCATACTATTTCCATTAAAACAAATTAAGCAGTTATTATTTATAAACAATTAAAAGTCTAATCTTGTCAATCAATAAACACAAGTCTTGCATTAACTCGAGTAAAATAACTTCTAAAAAGCAGGTATTTTCTACAAGGTGTGGGGATTCTTTGTATTGTAGTTTTGACTTTTCTCTGATGGTTTTTCTTTTGGTCAGAAACACACCGAGAAAGGTCCCTCATAATTAAGTTGTATGACAATAAAGTATTTAATCTTGGGCAACTCAAATGACAATTGTTTCAAGGAATGCTACACAGCCATGATCATCATTTACAATGCTAAGACCTCAGTCATTTACACCAGCACTTACACACTGTTTTCGTCGCTCATCTCTGTCTTCATGTTAGCTTCGTTGCAACTTCAGAAGCATACCTCTCTCACTCATCTCATTTTATACCTTACACTGTAAATTAGCGAAAAAGAATGATCTCGAAGAGCGCTAAAAACTTTAAATATTGCATACAAGGCTTTTTACTGTCGTTTTGGGACATGTTTCCACAATAAACACAAATTACTCTTTACGTTACCTGGCCTGCTCGATGAACTTTTCCAGGCTTTTCTGAATTACTTTGTCGAACAGCTTCAGCCTGTTATAACGAGCTACCGGCTCCTCGTCGGAAGTTGAATCAACTGATTCAGTCTCGGGCAGATTTGAGGAAAGGTTTCCTTTAGATTCATCATTTTGAGTTTCAAACAGCTTTTTTGTTGGGTCTGCAATTTCCTCCATTTTCAGCTTCGTCTATTTACGTTTTTGCAGTACCCGCCAAATCAACGGCGAATCGCTGAGCCCAAAACATACGAACTCGGTTTTGTTTTGCGCATGCGCGGATGTAGTAGAAGTCTTGCCAGTTGTTCCTCAGGCTCAGCTGTCATTGCCCCTCATACCCCTCGAGGTGGACTGTAGTCTTTGCCAACATGGGTCTTATCACAGGACTGTTCTCTTTCTTGTACCACTTACCTCAGATTTACAAATGGCTGCTAAAACCGTATTATATCGCCTCGGTTATTATGACTGTCGCCTTTCTGCTGATCCGAAAGGCTCCAGGTCTGTGCGAGCACCTGGCGACCCAGCGCGAGGACGGCAACTCCTGCGACTTTGACTGGGTGAGCATGCTGGGGATAGTGTTGCAGACATGCTGCTGCTAAATATGGACGGCCCTGCTACAGGAGAAAGTTAATTTACTCTTTTAATATTGTATTTTATTTTATAGAGAGAACTGGAGATTCTTATGTTTCTGGGTGCAATAGTGATGATGAAGAACAGAAGAGCAAGTAAGTATACACACACACACACACACACACACACACACACACACGCCCCCCCTTTGTTTATGTGTAAACCAACTATTTATATTGTTTACATTGTAAACATCTCAAAGGGGGCCCCATGGATTAAGCAGATGAGATACTCAATTTGGGAGGAGGGGTGGACCAACATGAGAAATGTGTCTTCTTATTAAAGTTGTACTGTATACAAACGGTATAGGCCTACACAGTTATCTAGGGCTACAACTAACTCTTATTTTCACAATTGATTAATCGGACAATTATTTTTAAATATAAATATTTTGGTCTGAAAATGTCAGAGAATTGTGAAAAATATTCATTCCTGCCCCTCAAATCAACTTGGTGTTGTGATGTATTTTATTGTCTTGTTTTGTTGGTCCTAATTTCCGAATACATTCTTTGATGTATTTTTATCTTATAATGTGCAACTTTCAAACTTTTACTCAATAGCTATGTATGAATTAATGTGTAACTGTTTTCTAATTGTTAACCTGAAACCAGAGGAGAAGCTTTGCAGCAAGCCATACAGGAAATGCTTCCCCCAAAACGTTGCTTTGTTGTATAAACATGCAGTGTGACCCCACCTTCTTTTGACCTTGTTTCCACAACCTGAAGGTTTTCCTTGTGCTCCATTCATTGTTCCTCCTCTCTTCTCTCCCTGTTCCTCAGTCACAATGGAGCAGCACGTGGGCAACTTGTTCATGTTCAGTAAAGTGGCCAACGTCATCCTCTTCTTCAGACTGGACATCCGGCTCGGCATCTTTTACCTCACATTGTGTGTTGGTCAGTGGTCTTAAAACTTCTGCCCCACCCACAACATATTGAAGTTATTTGAAGGGATATTAATTATAAGCAGTCTATCATAAAGGTCACATTACACCTTCTCACACGTATTGGTGTTTAATCTGTGTTTTTTTTGTAAATAAACATTAGAAAACTCATAAAAAATTTAACATGCGCGAATCAAAGTAGCACATCTGCTCTTTTTCCGATAAACGTGTATAAGTATTAATAATGTTTGAGTATAATGAAACTTAAGAACACTACAGGAGACCCTCTAAATAGGGCTTCTAAGGCTTCATATTGACTTGGAGCTATATATTCCCTACAGTTTCTATAGAATTACTGGTAGATATCCGTAAAGTCATCCAACATTAGAGTTTCTATAGAATTACTGGTAGATATCCGTAAAGTCATCCAACATTAGAGTTTCTATAGAATTACTGGTAGATATCCGTAATGTCATCCAACATTAGGGGAAATTGACTTATGTGACTACAAAAAAAATAGCAGCAAATTGCAGTAGATACCCATTTCTTAACACAACGTGGTGGATATTCCTCAGGACACCGTGACTAAAGTTTAAATGAATTCTGATTCCAGTGTTTTATTTATTTTATACTACTCTTCCACTGAAGTCTTGTAGATTGGCACATCACTTTTTTTGCTAAATTGCATTACATATTTAGTGTCAAACGAAGCTTATAGGGTTTAAATGCAATTTATTAACCTTAGCTGATATTTTCATAGTTTTAATAAATGTAAAACTTACATTTAATAATTGTTTCTTTTACCACAAGCCTGTGTAATGTTAACTTATCAGTCTCTCTCTCTGTGCCTTCTCTTCAGCTTTCACCATGACCTGTAAGCCTCCACTCTACATGGGTCCCGAGTACATCAAGTACTTCAGTGACAAGACCATCGACGTGAGTGTTTCACTACAGGCCACACTGAATTACAGTTTGTTTTTAAAAGGCTTGTACATTCCTTTATGATGGGTTACTACCATTTGGATGTACAGCAGAACCTCAGGCATTTGAAATGTTAGGGGAAAATAAAAATTAGTGGGCATTATAACAGAAAATCTAGTATTTGTATTCAGTATAATACAAACATAAACAAGCTAACTTCTTATTTACAAGACTTTAACCCGCACTCACATCTGCACACTTATGTTAATATATTTAGAATGTTCATTAAAATGCTCAACGTTTAACTGTTTAACTTTTTTCTTTTTTTTAAATGTGTATTTTAATTTGTATTTTATTTTATCTTTATTTTGACCTTGTGTGAATCCTGTTTTTAACTCTTACCTTGTTGCTGCTTCAAACGCCGGAATTTCCCCAAGGGGATAAATAAAGTTCCATCTTATCTTATTTTATTACACAATGCAACAGGAATGTTTTTGCATTTATGACAGTGTCCATGAGACAGGCACGTTATAATAGCAGTATGCCAAATTATATTATGTCATTGAATTTGAAAAGCAAATAGTGAAATGTAAGGCCTCTCTATCTGATGATGTCCCAGTCGTGGAGGCGAGGAGGTGTAAATGACTGACATACTGATTAAACACTGTGTTTTTTATTCATCAGGAGGAGCTACGGAAAGACAGCCGTGTCACCTGGATTGTTGAATTCTACGCAAACTGGTCCTCTGACTGCCAGTCTTTCGCTCCTGTCTTTGCAGACCTTTCACTCAAGTAAGAGTCTCAGTCATGGTTTCCCTAGGCCCCTGAACAAGTTAATAAGTCACTTATATAGAAAGACATCTATGTGATAGGATTAGTTAAAATACTAGAGAAATACACACTTTTTACTATAAACCTATAAATCACTAGTGTTGCTTTCACTTTAACAAGCAACCATTATATCTATTTCGTTTTTATAAAGTATTTTTGCTTGAAGATCTACTTTATTAATAAACAATTATACGTTTTACATCCATATATTTCTCGCATTCACCCCTGCATTCCCTGTAAAAGCATGGTCTTTGATATGAAAAATAAGAATAATTACTTTTATTTAATACCAGCTGCAAACAGTCAACAGCCTCCTGCTACATGATAGTGTTTTATTTGTATGCATTTATTCCATGGAAGATTGGCTTAATAACTCACTTTCATATACGATACTGTATTTCTGTCAAAATTTGTCTTTAGATTTGAACATTAAGATAACATTTAAATTCATGTTTTACTTCCTTCATTAATTATAACCATGATGTTGGATTAAACAGATGTGATTGTTCTGCAGAGATATCAAAGTCATATGCTCACAAAAATTAACTAATTTTAGGAAGTGTTTGCAGACCATTAGTTAGCCATGAATGTCTCACGCTTCTTTCCCCTGCGTTCTTCAGGTACAACTGTCCTGGACTCAGATTTGGGAAGGTGGACATCGGTCGCTATGGAGAGGTTGCAGAGAGGTAAGCCTGTCTATAATGATATAGAAGTACAATAACATACTATTGGCGTTTATGCTAACCACATGTTTTACAGATTCTCTGAGCTATCAATCAATCAATGTTTATTTATATAGCCCAATATCACAAATGTTACATTTGTCTCAGTGGTCTTCACAATTTGTACAGAATATCAGTATGACAATACGACACCCTCTGTCCTTAGACCCTCACATCGTACAAGGAAAAACTTCCAGAGAAACCCCACAGTTTAAAGGGGAACATGGGAGAAACCTCAGGGAGAGCAACAGAGGAGGGATCCCTCTCCCAGGACGGACAGACGTGCAATAGATGCCATGTGTAAATCGAAAAGATAATACATTTACAACATAGGTAGACCAAATGTTTGGAAATGCATGTGTCTATAATAAGAAGATGAATCCACAAGGATGTCAACAATCCTGTGGGAGCCATCAGGGAAGTAGTATGATGAAAGTCAGGCAGGACCACAGTGACAGGTTCAGCCCCGACTCAAATACAGGACTCAGGATAGAGGATCCAGGACACACGACCACAGCAACAGGATTAGCCTCGACTCGGGATCCCGGCGTATATATATAAAAATATTTTTAAAAAGCAGCTATGGTTTTGACTGTCCCATGATTTGTTCCTTCACAGGTACAGAGTTAGTACTTCTCCTCTGGCCAGGCAGCTGCCCTCACTGATGCTTTTTGAAGAAGGGAAGGAACTTATGAGACGTCCAATGGTGGACAACAAAGCAAGAGCTGTGTCTTGGACCTTCAGTGAGGTAAGACTTGTCCGTTACAAACACATTGAGCAAGTTCTGCGACATTGATGCCAACTTGTACATTATTTCCTCTCTAGGAGAACATCATCAGAGAGTTTAACCTGAATGAGCTCTTCCAAAAATCCAAGAAGATGAACAAAAGTAAAGCTTTGAAGGAAGAGTTGCAGAACGACGCTCAGCCAGAGGAGGGCAGCAACGAGCTCGAGCCTGAAACCAAAATCACGGAGCAGCCCGCAGAAAGCAAGAAAGACCAGTAAAGAGAAAAGAAGAAGATTGCATGAAGTCTCTCCTTTTCTTACCACGCCTTACATTTTGCAGGAGTCCAGAGTATTATGGAACGTAGAGAGGAAAATAGGTTGGACCCCTGCTAGATGTCATCTCTTTACATGGGAAAATAATGACCCAGTAAACTGCACCATGTTCCCCTGGTCCATCTGGGTATTAAGCAGGGTGGTTGCCGCAACGATTTGGGGACATTATATTACATTTATAACTTAAATTATTTGAGAACATGTGCCTTTTTTGTAATGAATGCCTTTTGATACTTTCATCTCATCCCTGCGTGTGACATTTAGCTGCCTGTATTTTGTAATGTGTGTGTTTACTGATGTCTCATGTTTAATACCAAAGTAAGAGTTGAAACTGAAAAAAGAAATACACAAATCCAGTTATCAATTTTACCTTTTTTTATTCTGCGACATCTTGTTAAAAATTCTTTATAAGGCCATTTTGGAAATGTCTTTAATGTACTCGTTACAGATATTTGTGAAACTCGTTCCATCCGCCACAGCCCACGATAGCGATATTTTATCTCACACAGAACTATACATACTGTTCTCACATAGTTTCAAATTGTTCAGTGGCCATCATCCCCGGCCAGAGCAGGAAGAAAAGTAACACAGGTTCTCTTAATCCCCTGTGCCATTAATGCTTCTTTTCTTGTTAGCACCCACACGTCAACCAGGTGGGCTTTTGACAATATTCTCACAAGTACACACGCCAGTGAAGCATTCAGCACGACAAACAAAAGTCACATGCACACCAACGACATAGGGAACTGGCAGGGATGAAAATCACGGCCATTTGGGTTAAACAATGATACTTGTGTGCTTCAAGCGTGTTCTTTCCCCCAAATACGTGCCACATTCAGCCAGCTTTGACATTCTACTGCTAGAAAAACTAAAACCATAACTCTAATGCCCAATCCTAAAACTCAAGCACACCTCCCTTTCTGTAATTACTCTTCAACATGGCTGTGGGTTAAAAAAATAATCAAGTGTACCTTTACAGACGTTTTAAAGTCAATCCAAAAAATCAGTGTAAAAAATACAAACCAATAGAAAAAATTTAAATGTGCATGATTCACTATGAATGGTCTCAAGGCAAAAAAAGAGCAATGAACAGCGTCTCTAATTGAAAACCAGTCCCCACTTCTTTGTTTTCTGTTCAGTGGCATATTGCATTCACAATATCATTTATAGTATGATTTTTCATAAAAATATTAATATATTCTTCTATCCGTTAAAATAAAAGAACTGACACGAGTAGAGACTGGTTTGAAATCGTGCCCAAAACTACAAGGTCTGGTGAAATAAAGAAATAAATAAGCCCTTCCCTCGCTGGCCATCTGGTAAAGGTTCTGCAAGCATCTTGATAGACTGACAGAGCATTACAAAAAATGAAATAAAAAAACACCAAAAAGACATACCATGGTCTTAAAGCTACTAACAGATTTTGCATAATGTCTCTAGCATCAACATTAAAAGCGTACATTCCACAAAGACGCTTGTGCCGAAAACCGTGATACTGAATTTCTTTGTGGCTTTCAGAAAATTAAGCTATATTATTTGCCATTTCAGCTGTCCACCAAACGATCATCCTTCTCTTTGGACGATGACATTTCCAGCAAGAGCTCATGAGCGGCTGATGCAGCCATTAAATACAAACCGGCAACTGATTTGAAATCGCTTTCATGAATAATTACACACAGTACATCTGCCACCCTCATCCATAGTCATCTTCAATACCTGACAAGTTGAGCCAATAATAATCTGCAAGATTTTACACATTTATATAAAACAATATTTAAAAAAAAAGATTTATAAAACTAAAATGATACTGTGTTTATAGGTTGGACTCTTTTTCCATGACTTCTCGTTAAACAGGTTGTGTGGTCCATTCAGAAAGTGAAGAAGATGTTTCTATTGGTCAACAAATCCTCGCGGTCCACTGGATAAAGGCCATCCTCTCCTGAAGGGTCAGACACAGTGGTCAATGTGTGTGCTAATATACCAAATGAAACAGCAAATCATTGGATAACTCTCCGTGTTCTGTTTAAACCCAGCCTTGATCGTACAGTCTATGGCTCACAAAGTGGCTGAATGGAGAAGACTTGATCCTGTGAAAAATGAGGTGTCCCCTTATACTCTTTGTTCAAATCTGACAGGATTGGCCAGTGGCGTTACAAATATAACAAAGTGGGTACCAGACAGGTCTGCTCCTTTAGTCTTTTGCCGTGGAAAAAAAGTATTTTTTCAGGAGCCTGCAGTCGTGAATAATGTTCAGCTCAGGTCAGAGACAAGTGGAAGTATTCAGGGGACGTTTCCCCTCCTGTGATGGACAGCAAAGGATGTCTGTCCCTCAAACCGATATCTCATAAGTGGTCCCTCCGACGCCTGTCACCTTCTTCACTCCGCCACCTGGTTTCGATGTGGTGTGATTGGCCAAGACTGGACGAGAGGTGGATCTGATTGGACAGCCATCAGGAAGGGGAAAGGAGGAGGGGGAGAGATTAGGGGTGAGGACAGGGATAAAAGGATGAGGAGTTGAGTGGTTCTACTTCAATACAAACAACAAACAATTACAAACAGCACTGTTTTTCTCTACCATCAATCTTGTAAGGCATTTGGTAATTTGGTGAGTAAGAAAAGGAAAGAAAAGGTTACATGACAAACACATGGTAAGGCATGCTTCCACAGAGCGACCATGCTGTTATTACTAAGCCACAAACTAAACTGATAAGACTTACATACACACAACAACTGTTAAACACTTAAGCAAACAAACACTGACTGTAAACCGTGGAAGAGGAAAAGGAAGACTCACACAGATCAGGGAGGAAGAGGAGGACTGACAAACCAGGGAGAAAGAAGCAGAGAATTAGGAGGAAAAGGAAGAAAGGTAGCAGGCTGAAGGGTCTGGAGACGGATCATTACTCACTGTGGAGCCTGTGGCCCTCCTCCAGCTCCTCCTCCCCCCAGCACAATGCCTCCTCCTGCAGGCCGAGGCTTGTGCTGAGGCCCTACCTCCGCTATGTAAGACGGGGACTTGCCGAGGGAGAGGCCGCGAGGTGGCGGGGAGATAGGGGGCTCGAATGAGCGAGAGGATGAAAAGGAAAGGTGACGAGGGGCTCGGGAAGAGTCCTGGTTATGTTGGAGCAGGTGCTGGACCTCAGGAAGCCCAGAGGGGGAGTGGGGGGGTGGGCTGACGGCACGCAGGTAAGCCCTGTGGGGGGAGGAGAAAGTGGCAGAGCCCTGGAGGAGCTGCCCCTCCCTCTGCTGGGCGATCTGAGCTGAGAGGAAGGGCGACGTGTAGCCCTGCAGTGGGCTGCTGGGCGACACCCTGTCATGCTGGCCGGATACAATTGCCGAGGGAAACGGAGCACGAGGCTTCTGCGGCGACAGCTCATGAACAGCGGACTCAAACTCTGGGCTCTCGGATGGCGTCAGGAGGCTGTCATAGGACAGGCTGCCATTCCGAGGCGTCTGATTGGCCAGGCTTTTGTAGCTGGTGTCTGTGGTGCCCTCTGATTGGAGCGTGGTCAGCGGGTTATGTGCCGTTTGCGCTGAGCGCAGGCTGGAGGAGCGAGAGCCGCCAGCGGACAGAACCAGAGAGGACGGGTAGGAGGTGTAGGAGCGCCCAGTCAGGGAGTAGCCCGACATGCCCCCCGACATCATCCCAGCAGTCCCGCCAGGGCCTCCGGGGCCCTCACCCCTTTCCCCTCCCCCTCTGCGCGCCCCCATACCTCCCCCCACCACTGTGGTCCCGTCCAGGCTGCTCGGCTCCGAGCGGTAGCTAGACTGACGGCTGGACTGAAGGATGGTGGGAGACGGAGAGTCAAGACTCTCCCCACGGATCATCTGAGAGGAGAAACAGATAGAAGGTAGAAAGAGGAGGAAGTGTGATGAAGATGAATGCAGGGATGAAGAGGAGGGGAGAGAGATTAAAATCACCATGTGTCTTCAGGAATTTATTAAATATTCTTACAGAAAAAAAAAAGAGTGTTGGGGAAATATTGGATGCTTGACCAGTGCTCTACTCCAACATCACACTACTGGAGTGGAAACATTGACTGGCTTGAACAGGCACTGACACTGCATGTCAAAGAATGTGTATCAACATAGAAATGGAAATACAAGTACATACAGTACAGGAAGTACACATTGCAGTCAATGCAGTCTTAGGGGAAAGGATAGATCCACTCAGACACAGAGACAACCAGAAGGACACACAGAGATGACACTAGCTGAGACTTACTGATCGACCGATGGCCACTGAATGGTCAATTCAAAGTAAAAACAAAAAAGAGGGGCATGGCATTAACCACAAAGGAAATTAGAAGGGTGCGGGCATAACAGCCACCAGACCATCTGTTACAGAAATCAATGGGATATTGTTTCCATCTTTTTGTGCGATAAGGTTAACCACATCCCTTTATGCTTTTTGAAATGTCCTGCTATTTGATATCAACAAGGTTTTATATTCATAAGTACAAGGTTAGATTTGCATGAGTCTAACATGTGTCTGTTTTTCTAATAAGGCATGACATGCGGTTAGCTTCACTCTAGGCTGCTTATTATCTTATGTGAATAGTTGATGCCTTATACCTGTGCAGGTGTATGTACCTTGTTGGGATGTGTGAGTGCAGTGTGGTTCCTTCCCGGGCTGTTGAAGGGTGGTCGGTACTTGAACATTGACGGTGTGGGTGGAGCTTCAGTCAACAAGCTGCTCTCTGAGGGGCAAGACAACAAAAGGGACATTTGAAAAAGAGGCGTGTTTGTGATTAGCAAACAAACATAATCTGTTAGGAGGTAATACTTGAAGTTTCCCGGCTGCACTTGGCCGGTTGTAATGTCAGGTGACAGATTCCCTCGTGTGTGTGTGTGTGTAAGTGTGTGTCTCACCCTCAGTGTCAGCACGGGGCAGACCAGGGTACCGAAGCTCTGGCTTTGGAGGAGGTGGAGGAGGAGGCTCTGCATCAGCTGACTGGCTCTCTACCTGATCTAGACTGCTTTTGGACTGGAGAAGATGCAAAAATAAGTGCAAGCACACTTACAGCATCAGGCCTATGAATCAAAATCATTGTTAACCCTCGAACACTCTGACTTTTTGACAGGAAAAAAGAAATCATATGTTACATATACGATTTCTTGGAGGTATGAAAACCATTTAAAAAATGTTCACGGTTTTGGCATCTGATAAACTCAAAAAATTTTCAGTATGAACGCCCTCGTACACAGCTGATAACACATTATTGAGATAGGGTGGGGTTTTCGAGGGGTTTGAAGCTTAAAGTTTCACTCAGTAAACAGAATACGGTGGCAATCAAGGGAATCCTGTGACGTGTGGCGCAGGATGTAAAAAATAGTCCTGTTCCCAGTTTTGCAAAGCGGCAAGGCTTTACATCGGGACCGAACATTTAAATGCAAATATATCTCAATCAGTTTTCATGTAACGCTCCAAAACTATGTAAATAGTACTCATAACTAGCAGAGCATGGATATCTTAATTAATTCACGGAATCTGGTGATATGACCTCAGATATTTGTACTTTATCTGTTCTGAAAGATTTAGTAAACCGCTTGATCATTTGAAGAATATCAGCATACTTATACACTTCTAGTTTTTTATGTTTTGTCTGGGATTTTGTTCTGATTTTATGGATTTTGCCAGCTGCAATGCAGACCAGAACATTGACTTTATAAAGTGAGTTCAAGTTTTTGAAAGTGTATGGGATTCTTTGATTTCTTTTTAATTCCAAAGCTTTTGATCCTACACACCAGTCACAAAGAACTATTGGAAAATAATGATCTGGC